CTGACCATCTTCAGAGGGTCTTTTAGATTGGAAGAATATAAATCACCACGTTAATCCAGCTCTACCATTTTAACCACGATTAATTATCACACCAATCACCGCGCGACCGATTTTGGGGCAAGATGTGGTTATATAGCTTCATCTGACGCACACAATACTGTTGGGATTGGGGTTAGGGGTTAGGGCAAGTATTTCTCAACCACTCAAAGTACAACCGCGCATTTCCAACAGCTATTCTTTTGCATACAGCTACTTGACCTCGTCGTCTGTGCGTTCCCCGGCCCCACCTGTAACAACCACTATTACCACCGGTCCCGTATTAGAGGTGGCTGGGGTTTGTTTACTTCAGGTGGGACCACATAATCACATCTGACCGGTTTTAGCCCTTTACAATAGTTGTCTTCGGTTTCCGGATGATAAAGACACCTGTTTCCACGACGCCGATGCGCCTATGTCCCATACGATGAGGCTTCCTTCTCAGGTAAGAAACACATGGGTCTTTTTAAACTCGCCAATTCTTTCTCCCCCATAATTTCACCAATTCCGAACAGAAGACGTTACTATCACAAATTCCATCATGGGTACAATGTATTTTCATTTTATTTACTCAACAGGTAATAACCTACTCAAGTTTTTTGTATCAATGACGCTATCATCGGGAAGCACGCATAGTTAACGCCCGGCTTTTATATGCTGTCCGGGCTCATGCCAGTGTAGAGAATGTGCCACCAGTTAATGGCGTTACAATCACCAGCCCGGTGACTGTTCAGTTAGGTCAGCGGTAATGGAGAGGACAAATGTTACACACAGTAAGTGGGCCAACTCGTGAAGTTCCAACAGAAATTCCGAAATGCGTTTTCGTTTTGAAGATACTGATTAAGTAGGATTGTAAAACTAATCATCGTGCAGCATAATTCTATAATAATTCAGTTACCCTAGGACGCCGGCTCTCGAAAAAACTTCTTTCCGGCTGCATCCGAAAACCATACCTCGCGAAAAATGGCTACTTAAGTAGCATGCATTTTTCATCGATTTTCGATGCTCTTAGAGGTTCAATTATTTCACAAAAAACATGCATAAAAATATGCATTCGTTTGTTCATTCAGTAGAAAATTACGTCTTCTTTCAATTGCATACTTTAAGGAAGGGCATACTTTGGTTTTATAAAACTTTTCCAATTCCCGAATAAGCTTGAACCCAACCTGCCGTTACACGTGCATTCAGGGTCTAAAAAATAAAAGGTCGTATAATTTCCGCGTACGGAAAACCATACATTTCTCTACGGTATCAAGAGGAGATCATATGGGGTTCATACAATTTAGCAGTGAATTTGAGCCACATTGTTAACTTTACAATCAACGTTAGTAAATGCAGAGACATGACGTTGTATGAACAGCCATTTCACGGTATCAAAAAATCTCACAATTGGAAGCTTGTCTAAAACCAAATTATACCCTTCTTTCGAGTGTAAAATTAGAAGAAGACGTAATTTTCTACCGAATGAGCAAGAGGGTGAATATTTTTATGCATGCTTCCCATGAAATATAATTGAATCTTTAAGGGCATCGAAAATCCATGAAAAGAATGCATGCTACGTAAGTTGTCATTTTTTACGGAGTACTGTTTTATGCAGCCGGAAAAAATTTCGTTCAAAAGCCGGTATCCCAAGGTAACTACATTATTATAGAATTATGTCGCATGATGATTAATTTCACAACCCTACTTAACTACTCTTTTCGATACGAAAACGCATTTCGGAATTTCGGAGAACATTTCATGTGTCAGCACACCTATTGTAGTCATAATTTTATGATTGCGGCCTTAGTCCACCTATTGTAGCGGCGGCAGAAAGAACAACAGGCTCAATCCTGCTGTGTACATAGGTTCCCCCACAATCGTTCTGCGCCCTCTAGTGCGACCGTTTCGCAGACACTCTGAGTCACAGCGTCACGGTAACAATGGTAGGAAGGCCAGCAGTCAATGCATGTTCTGCGCTCAACTCTACTACTTTGGTTCGCTCCACAGGTGTGTTATACGTCGGCTTGTCTCGTGTGGGCGCGCGACCTGTCGCAGAAACTGAGTCACGATCAGGCCAGGCCACGAAAACACGCTCAGGCGCGTCCATTAGTTTTGTTGTTTTTGCAAATCACTCCACTGGTTGCTGTCGCTGTGCGCGCTCACGTGGTCTGCCAGTTGCTGGGTCCCCCAAGGCCGCCTCCCCCCCACAAGAGACGGTGTATGAGCGGTGTCGAACGCACGGGCTGTTATTTTAAAAACCGACAGTATATCGTCCCTTTGTTTTTCTGGGCATGCGCAGTTTATCAG